CCATCAAATCAGATTTGACTGGTACAGGAGGAGATGGTTCCTTCTCCAGCAAAGCATCTGGTGGATGGTATTTATTTTCTTGACATTGACATGTAATGCATATTGAAGGCTGTACTCTTTGGTCTTCTGCAGCAAATGTTTCAAGTCCATTTCACCTTCAGCAAGCAAGGTTGTGTCATCTGCATAAAAGAGGTTGTTGATAAGTCCCTCCTTAAATCTTGATGCCACATTCTTCTTCATAAGAGTCTAGTTTCTTGAATGATTTGCTCAACACACAGACTGAATAGTTGCAGAGAAATTTGCAGAGAAACGATACAGCCTTGATGTACACCTTTCTTAATTTTAAACAATGCTGTGATCCTTTGTTCTGTTCAAAGAGCTTCTTGGTTTAGGTATAGGTTTTTTATGAGCATAATCGAGTGTTCTGGGATTTACATTCTTCTCAATGTTAGCTATAATTTGTTATGATCCACACAGTCAAATGCCTTTGCCAAAGGAACAAACAGATATGTATTAGAGAAAGTACAGCCAGAGTGCTCCTTGGAGGCCAGGAACGAGAAGCTTCATTTCACATACTTTGGGCATGTTGATAGGGGAGGCTATTCTTTGAAAAGGAACACCATGCTTGGAAAAGTGGAAGGTCAGTGAAAGAGAGGAAGATCCTCAATGAGATGGATTGACATGGTGACTGCAACCATGGGCTGATGTGTGTCAGAGGTGATGAGGATGGTCCAGGATAGGACAGGTTTCAGATCTGGTGTTCAGAGGGTCATGATGAGCTGTACTCAACGGCACCTAACAGCACCAGCAACACGCCACCACTACTTGAAATGGTAGATAGATTTCACTGGAGCATTAAGATGCAAACAGATTGGGAAGAATGAAAAAAAAACAAAAACAAACCAACAACAAACCAAAAACCAACAAAGCACTTGTTCAGTGGACATCTGTAAGACAGAGTTCTGGAGGATAAGCTGCTCAGGCCGCCAGGCACTTAACATCAAGAAGGGGCTCAAATGTACCGGTGACAGTGAGGATACTGTGGGACTGGGCGGTGGCTCATTCTGTTGTATACATGGTCACTATGAAGCACAACAGACTCAATGACACTTAGCAGCGATGATACTTACAGAAGGAGACAGCCACTTTGGTCTCTTATTATTGACCGTGTGGTTAACAGCCCAGCAAGCACTAACCCAATTCTAATACAATGCCTTAAAATGTTATGACATCTTAGAAAATGTGCCTCTAGCAATGCATTTTAGTCTGTAACTCACATTAGATGCTAAGTTTCTTAAAGGCAGACTCAACTCATCTTTCAGTAAAGCCCTCTTGCGTGAATACAGGGACTGGCACTTAATAGGTGCCCAATAAATGCTGAATGAATAAATAAAGCAATTCAGTTGGATGGACAAAAAAAAAAGTCATGACAAGGTGATCATTCCCTACAAACGGTCATTTGTGTTTTTATTATTCCTTATATTTGTCAAGTGATGTTCACCCCTACTCAGCCCAGTATCGAGACAGAAACAAAACCAGTAGATTACTTGCTCAAGGAAGACACAGGCGCAGAACCAGATGCCAAGAAGCCCCTGGAGACATAAACGTGTTTTTTTTTTGGGGGGGGGGACAAGGATGAGCGCCGGCAGGAGCATGGGTTCAGCTTCGGCATGAAGAGCAGGCAGCCATGCAAGCTTACCGCCTAAATGAACACGAAGGAAACTGGGAGAAGTGGGAAGTGACTCCTTGGAGGTCTGGGCCCACTTGAGGACCTCTAGTGATGAACAATAAATGCCCACCCATGGGTAACGTTAATAGTGAAGGCACAGGCCTGGATTTCTGAAGATGAGTTTCTGTTTAGGGAGCTCTGGTGGCCTAGTGGCAAAGGAGATACACTGTCAACCAAAAAGCAGGAGGTTCAAATCCACCAGCTAGTGACTGAAAACTCGACTTGGCTCCAGATGGCTCCTCAGCCCCACAAGGACCTGAAAGGGAGACACCCCCTCACAGGAGCACACATCCTTCTTCTAATTGCCTGGGCTCTGGGGTCCTTTGCACCTTACTTGAAGGGAGGGCAGCTTGGTGGGCGGGTGGAAAGCAGGACTTTGAAGTCTGGTGGTCACAGGTGAATGAAATCAGATGCTTGCGTGAGCTCGGGCAAGCTAATTAGCTTTATTTCATCAAGGGATTAAAAGAACTGATACCTACCTCATGAGGTTTGTTTATTTATTTAAAGAATTAAGTGACAGATTAGGTGACAGGTCACTGGCACCGGAGTCCTTCCCACACTCAAGGATGGCCCTTTCACACTCTCTGTGAAGCCCAGCTTTCACCTAGTGCCTTAACAGTCCAGCTGCACCGAGTCGACTCAACTCATGATCACCCCCACATACGTCAGAGCAGAACTGTGCTCCACAGGGTTTGCAAGGATCGACTTTACAGGAGTAGGTTGCCAGGCCTTTCTTCTGAGGTACCTGACTGGACCTTCTATTGGTCAGCAGTGACCACCCACACCACCCAGGGACTTTGGCTACTACTTTAAGGCTGGTGAGTCTCAAAGGGAAAAGACAGATGCTGGGGACTCGGAACACCAGCCCTTTGAATTCTAACACACTCTGGAGGAGGTGCACCCTGGGGCCTCAGGACCTCTGGCAGAGAGAACCGGGAAGAGAACAAGCAGTAAAGGGGAAGCGACAGACCCTGGGAGCCAAGGGTGTGGACCCTGGTGTGGTCAATGCATGCTGGGTCTCGTCGGGTGGTGGCCAGGATGTGGAAGGTCTGCCTCACTTTCTCATCAGGAATACAGGGGAGGAGGAAAGGCTCTGGGCCAGTGGGCGGACAGAAGGCACAAGGCCTCCTCCTGCACGAGACTCCAACCCTGGGCCAGAGCCCGGTCTGTGACTGCTCACTGTCCCCGCCCCCAACCCCTGGACCCCTTCAGAGCCTGGACAACGAGCATCTCCTACCCCTCTCTTCTCAGTCGTCCAGCAGACTTCCACATCTCGGGGTTCTCATTGTTGACGATCCTTTCCCTACTCTGCCATTTCCCCTTTCCCTTAGTCTTTGGTGGTGTTGAGTACCTTTGAGCTGGAACCAGCCCGTAGCTGACCCTCTGGTGGGTTTTCAGAGGCAGTTAGTCTCACAAGAAGAGATTGCCCATCCTTCTCCTGTGGATTGCAGTGCAGCTTCTTACCATTAGGCCATAGCGCTCCCTTTCCCTTTTCATTTCCTTTTTGTCTCCCAGCATATACATATTTTGCTGTTGTTGTATATCATCAAGTCAGAACAGACCCACAGCTGACCCTCCAGTGGGCTTTCAGAGGCAGGAAATCTCATGGGAAGAGACTGCCCATCTTTCTCCCATGGAGCAGCTGGTAGATTTGAACTAAGTGCCTTTGGGTTGGCAACACAACTCCTTACCACTCAGCCACTCGAGCTTTCTAATGTATACCTACAAAGAATCCCAAAACCTGCAGCCATAAAGTCATTAACCCCTGTGTGTCAGAGCCTAAGAATGCATAGCAGAGGGGTTTCAATGGCTGTATAGAAAATGATTGTCAAGGCTTTATTTTCAAGGCGTCGCTGGATGGATTTGAACCATCAACTTTTCAGGTAGTGACTGACCACAGACTCAGTGTCACCAGGGACCGTGGAGATGGTCCAAGGAAAAGAAAATAATCAAATGACTGTGTTTAGCTTTGTGTGGACTTGTACCACTGAGTCACACTTAAAGGCCTTCAGGCACGTGTGTATTGTGGGGGGTGAGGTGAGCAGGGCAAAATCCACATGGACCACCACACAATTAAAAACATTAAAAACTGAACAAAGCAAACAGAAATGACCTACCTTGCTGGCCACCACCAACTGAACCACTCCAGTGGCTGAGCGGAGAATGGCCACAGCTTCCTCATGGGAGAGCCCGACCAGTAGGTGACCATTGATGACCAGGAGCTCATCTCCTAAGGACAGCCTGCCATCCCTGAGGGAATGGAGAGGGTGAGAAAAATCCCTTGTCAAGACATTCTGGGCCTGAGAAGGGACGGTTCCCGGGGGAGGGGGGACTGTGAGAAGAGAGAGGTAAGACGGGAGGAGGGAAGTGCCTCGATGCCCAGCACAGTTCAAGGTGGGACCTCTGAGTCCTTTGGTCTCGCCATGTCCAGAGTCTCACTGTTATCAAGGGGTCGACTCCAACCCATGGTGCCTGCGTGTGACAGAGCAGAACTGTTCCACGCAGTCTCCTGGGCTGTGGCCTTTACCAAATCGTTCTCCTGTGGGACCACTGAGTTGGTCTGAATTGCCACCATTATGGCTCATAGTGAATTGCCACACTGTTGTGAAAACAGGATCACAGTCCCATTACAAAACTCAAACTCACTGCCACTGAGTCAATTCCGACTCATAATGACCCGGTAGGACAGTGTAGAACTGCCCTATAGGCTTTCTGAGATTATAATCTTTACGGAAGGAGTGTGCTACATCTTTCTCCCATTGTGGGGCTGGTGGGTTTGAACCACGTGCTTTTGGGTTAGCAGCTGAGTCCTTAAGCATTATACAACCAGGGCTCCTTTTAGAGTTGGATGAGAGGGATAAAAGGCTCCACGATTTCAGCTAGCCATTTAGTAATAAGAATGTTCCTTAAGTTTCTGCCATAGCTGGCATAATTCTTGGTCCCTGAGCTAAGTAAGCCCCAAGGAGCAAAGAAAACTTTGCTCTCTGAGATCCTTACTGACCCGTCCCCTCTCCCTTCCTATGTGACGTGATCATGACCAGATTCTCTCTGTGGCAATGGGGCCTATGTGACCTGTGTCTGTTTTCCCCAGTAGTGTTATAGGACCTGGAGGACAGCGTCTGTCAGTGCCATGTTAATCTTTGTGTCCCCATAGCCAAGCTTCATGAACTGGAGGCTGAGTCAACAGATGAACCAATGAATTGCCTAACAGGCGGGCATGAGACCTCCCAGTTGACTCAGTTTCATTGCACTGGGTCATTAGGAGGTTTACACCCAGGTGTTGTGTGGGATTACTTCATCTCCAGTGGGTCAAAAGTTTGGGGTACAGAGAATTTGTAGACCTCCATCACTTACATGTGGGACATTAGTTCTATTGGTTCCAACTGAACCAATTCCAATTGTTTAGTCTTCCTTGATCCCAAGGGAGCCAGGTATCCACGGGATAGGAAATCAGAGGAGGCCAAGACATTCCAAGTTTAGGATTCCACTGTATTTTCTGGAACCTTGCTATCAGCACCCAGAGTACTGGTGTGGAGCCTCGGCTTGTCACCAGTACTGACAGATCCACCCAGTTCTGTTCCCTCCCCTCCTGCTTCCTTCCAGTAAATCAACCAACTTCTCTCCTACCTCTCTTACTTCTCTTCCTCACCTTCTCCAACTTTGAAGGCATATATCACACACTGTTCTATGAATTTAGCCTTTAATAGATGACAGGAGGCACCAGTGGATTCCAACTTCTTCTGCTTTCTGTCTTTCCAAGGCCTTAAAGCAGAGAAATGCTAAGGGCCCCTAAAACTGTTTAGAACGTAAAAAGGGGAAACAGAAAATCAGTGGATCTTAGTCCGTGAGTGGGCTGCTTTAGGAGAAGATGCTTCCTCCAGGAGAAGGATTTAGGAGCAAAGGCTAGGATTCTGTTTAGTGTCATATCTGGGTTGACTTAGCAGTAATATAGAGATTTCCCCCAACATAATACTCTTCCTGTTTTTCTTTCGCTTTACTCTTTAATTATATCTATGTCATTTTTTATTTTTAACTCTAGTTACCCACCTGAGAACAATATACTCCAGGGGTACACCCCCTCTTACACACACACACACACACACACACACCCTCAAGGATACACATGCAAAGAAAATAGTAAGACCCACTGAAAACAGCTCAGGAGGAAAACAGGCAAGAACAGGTTTATGGAAGATGCTCATCTCTGGGCACAGGGAGTTCCTGGTTGTCAACTTTCAAAGACAGACTAGAAGGTAAGAGCTGGGATAACTGGGCACATGGTTTGATAATGGGAAACTCCCCAAAGCAGACATCATTTGGGAATTTTAATGATGTCGTTACACATATTATCACAGCTTTGTTCTTTGTGAAAAGAACAAAGCAAACAGCCAAAGTCTTCTAATCATTTAATAATCACTCCCACGCATATAACTGACAATTACAGCCAACCCTATCTCTAGCCATTAACATTCAACTTTCTCCTAAGAAGACTGATTAGCATCAGACACTTGACTAGCATGTGCTCTTCTGAAGTTTTCCATGCTTCAGACTAACTGCTGTCACAGCTCCTTCAACTGTGTGACTCATTTTTTTTGCTTGGGTGTTTGCTTGTTTGTTTTTTATTTTAGAGTCCCCTCTCAGTCTTGGGCAGGTCAATATTGCTGTGGTTTTCCACCATCTCATTTGAATCTGGTTCTCTGGAACTGAACACCAAATTTCAAGCTAGCATAATGACAATCATTTCCCTAATGGTAGACACAATCTTTACACACCTCTTATACATGTGTTGTTGCTGTCGAGTTGCTTGCAACTCATAGTGACCCTATGTACAACAGCCCTGAAACCTGCTCTATCCCATGCCACTCTTATGTTTCTGACACACCTACCCTTATTACCCCAGTTACTGAATCAATCTATCTCATTGAAGGTCTTCCTCTCTTGCACTGTCCCTCCATCCTTTCAAGCATGATTTATACATGTAGATATGAGATATATATATATATATACACACACCAGAGTGCCTTGCAGGAAATTTTTCTGATTCATAGGACTTCATTGTTATATTGAGTACATTTGCTGTCATATTTTTCTGCTTCATAGTGACTTCATAGGTTTTAGAGTATACTGACAGGCTTTTCTTGACTAATATCTTAACAGAAGCAAATCTCCACAATGGCCTTATCTGCCATTGTATCGCTGGCAGGTACAACCTGCCTACCTCTGGGTTAACATCTGAGTGCAAACCATTGATACACAGAAACAATTAGTTAGCCCAGTGAGAGAAGACACACTGAATTTTGGGGTAGCTGCATTCTTCTCCCGGTGAACTTGCTTTTTGTTTTGGGGCACTGTCTCTCTTTCTAGTTCAGATAGCGATGACTAAGATTGAAGTTTCCAAGTTTGAACTGTGCTCAGGTCACACGGAAAGGAACTCATGTCTATTCTGTTTTCCCTTCACGTCTGCCTGATGGAGAGATGAGCAGGTCCATGTGTCTAAAATCTCAACAGCTCTGACAAGGAAAGTCCCAGGCTATGAACTATGTTCCCATTTAAAATCTATCACTTTCCCAAGTTGAGTCACAAGCAAAGTCTCCTGCGAGTTATGGTGTCAGGCATGTGACTTTCTGGTCTTTCTGGTCAGTGCCATACTCTTTATAGTCAACTTGATGGCACATAACAACAACAAATAGTCACCCCATGCTATCACACTGCCAGGTTTAAAAACCTTAGGATAAGGGATGTTTACTTGAAATGGAAAGTGGTACAAACAAGAAAAGAAGGAAGGAAGGAAACCAACCTCTCCTTCCTGGTTTGTAAGATCCTGTACTACCTTCAGCAATGAGTCACTTTCTGTCCCCAGAGCGGTGATTAATTAGACCCGTTCTTGCCTGGTTTCCCTTCTGGGCTCCAGCACAATATTTAAGGATCTGAATGCTTAAATTGCAAGTGAAAGAGTTCAAAGACAGAGGCGGGGGAAGGGGACACGGGGAGGATGAGGAGGCAGAGAAGCGGGGAAGAGTTCTCTAGTCACCTGTGAGCGGGACCTCCTTCCTTCACTTGGGTGACAACGATAGCGTGAGGTGAGCGCTTTGATCCTCGGCCTCCACTAACCTGAATTCCCAGCCCATCCGACTCTTTGAGCAGCTCCATCTTCCATATGCGGCCAACTTCCTCCTTGGAAGAAAAAGTGAGCACACAGTAAAGTACAAGACAGAGACACGACACTGGCACAAGAAGTGGGATTGTCATGCTAGGCCCGCTGTCAACAGCCTGTCAATGGCCACTGCAAGCCAGCAATGATGGGCAAAGTGTGTGGGTTCGACCTGAATCTAGCCACTAGCCGCAGTTCAGTAGCACTTTCTGAATGAATTGAAATGTTCTGTGTCTGTACCACCCAATATGGAGCCACTAATCACATGTCTGGAGGGAGCTCTGGTGGCCTAGTGGCAAGAAGCTATGCTGCAACCCCAAGGCACAGGGTTTGAATCCATCAGCTGCTCTGTGGGAGAAGGATGTGCAATCTCTTCTTTTGTGATTTACTGTCTCTGAAAACCCACTGTTGTTATTGTTCTGTGCCATCGATTTGGAACTGACCAATAGCTGACCCTCCAGCAGGTCTTCATAGGCAGTTTCATCTTACGGAAGGAGACTGCTCATCTTTCTGCCGGGGAGCAGCTGCTGGATTTGAATTGTATGCCTTTGGGATTTTGCAGCACAGCTTCTTACCACTAGGCCACCAGAGTTCCCTGAAAACCTGTTAGAGGATCAATTCCAACTTGACAGTATACTACAACAGCAGTTGCATGTCCACACCAGTCTGTCAGTTTGCTTATATGTTGTTGTGACGCTAGAGTTATATCATTGGTATTCAATTATCAGCAGAGACAGACTAGGAAGAAAGATCTGGCAACTTACTGCGGAAATCAGTCACTGAAAGCATTAGACCAACAATAGAATACTGTTCCACTCACATGTTCTGGATATGTCATTAGAGACCAATTGCTTGGGAACGACATCACGCTTGGTGGAATGGAGGGTCAATGATGGTGACAGACACTGTTGTTAGGTGTCGGTGAGCCAGCTAGCACTCATAGAGACCTCATGATCCACAGACCAAAACCTCACTTTAGCCGGCTCCACTCTCATGATCTCTGTCATGTTCTCAGGCTCAAAGCTGCAGTCACTGTGTTAATCCATCTCTTTTAGGGTCTTCCTCTTCACCGACCCTCTACTTGGATTGCACAATGGCCGGAATGACAGACATGGATACGATGTGAATGTGAGGCTGACACAGGATAAGGCGATATTCTGCTCGGCTGCTTGTAAAACTGCCATTGGTTGAAGCTGATTTGATGGCATTTCTCTTTCTGTTCAATTAGCTCTCTATTTCATAGCCATTCAGTCAGAGCTGACTCCTAACTGAGCCTGCGGTGGGTCTACAGCCTCCAGAGGCTGTAAACTGCATGGTAAAAGATTGTTCGCCTTTCCCTTTCAAAGCTACTGTGGATTCGAACCTCTTTTGGGTTAGCAGCACAACTCCCCTGGAACTACGCCACCAGAGCAGCCCTGAAATACGCAGGAGTGGCCTTCGCAGTTGTTGTATGTCATTAGTTGATTTCAACTCCTAGACACTCTGGAGGTAGGAACCCCACCACCTGCCCACGGGAGCTAACTAGAAATTGAAATTGCAGCCAGTGGCCCTGAGGAACGGAATTTTAATTTCATTTAATTTTAATTAAATTTAAGTACCTACCCAGGGTTAAATTTAATTAAAATTAAGGGAAATGAAAATTCAGTTCCTCAGGGCCACTGGCTATCATTCTAATTTCTACTTAGCTCTCATGAGCAGATGGTGTATTCTAGCCACCAATCTTTCAGTCAGCAGCCAAATGATTAACCACGTTGCCACCAAAGTCTCTCTGAGTTGCAATCCAGAGCTTCCCAGGCAGCTCTGGTGGCCCAGTGAATAAAGAGTTGTGCTGCCAAACCAAAGGAAGCCAGTTTTAATCCATCAGAAGCTCCTTGGAAGAAAGATAAGCAAACTCCTCCCATTGTGATTTATAACCTCTAAAAACCCACTGAAGGGTCAATTATGAGTCAGCTCTAACTCGACGGCAATGAGGTGAGTTTCGTAAACACTAGTCTCTGGAGACTAATGTGCGTCTGGTACAAGCCATGGCCTTGCAATCACTTGTTATGCATCAGAGAGCTGGACAATGACCAGGGAGGACAGAAGGAGAATTGATGCTTTTGAGTTTTGGTGTTGGAGAAGAGTGCTGAGGGTGCCATGGACTGCTAAGAAAACAGACAGATTCATCCTGGAGAGGGTTAAATCAGGCTGCTCCTTGGAGGCAAGGATTCTGAGACTTTGTCTGTCATATTTTGGTCATGTTGTAAGGAGAGACCGGTCCTTGGAGAAAGACATCATGCTTGGGAAGGTGGAGGGCAGGCACAGGAGGGGAAGGCCCTCTGGGAGATGGATTGATTTGATGACTGGGGCAATTGGGATGAGAGTGTCAGAGACAGTGAGATTGGCACAAGACAGAGCAGAGTTTAGAGCTGTTGTACATAGGGTCACTATGAGTTGCAAGCAACTTGACAGCACATAACAACAACAACAATAACAACAACAAATAGTATGACATTGGCTAACACAGGGAAAAGAAATGACAAGTTCCCAGAGCTGAGTCCTAAGTGGAACTTCCACCTGATACTTAAATATTGGCTTTGTGTGCAAACACTGCCTTATGCCTGGGTTCCTTTTATTTATGCAAGTGACTCATTAATAAGAGAAGATGAAAGGAAGACAAAGCTGAGGTCCTGGCGCCAGGAGGCTACAACTAGTGTGCACCTAGCTCTGCCATTCACTAGTTATGATGGTCACATGAGGTTCAAGCTGGTTTCCTTTCCTCTTTTAGAGGGGTGGTTACTGCAGCCTTGGCGTCAGCAGTCAGCGAGATGTTTATGAAAATACACAGCGGTACACCCACACTCCAACCGGCAGGAAATCATAGAGTGGTGTTGCTGCTAGGTATTGTTGATTCTGATCCAACTCAGAGGGATCCTGTGTCAAACAGAACAGAGCACGACCCAATCTGGCACCAATTTATTATATTGCGCTTCGGTGGCTTGGTGGTAAGGAGTTATACTGCCAAGCCAAAAGTATGCAGTTCGAATCCACCAGCTGCTTCATGGGAAGAAGGATGGGCAATCTCTTCCTGTGCCCTGTCTCTGAAAACCCACTGGAGAGTCAGCTACGAGGTGGTTCTGACTTCACGGTACAAACAACCACAACCACAACAACACCTATTACACGTATAGCTAAGAAACACCAGATGTTGAATGTACCACATTGACTTGAATCTCAAGCTTACTTAAAATATTCAGATGGCAAAAAAAAAAAAATATTCAGATGGCATTTTTAGTTGTGGTTGTTAGGTGCTGTCAAGTGGCCCTTGACCTTCATATGAACAATAGATTGGAAACTTCTCCTATCTTATGTCATCCTTACAATCTCCATCATGCTCAAGCCCATTGTTGTGGTCACAGTGTGAGTTTTATATTTGGTCATCAAAGGTTAAAGGCAAGAATATGCTGGACCATGCAGTCCTTAAATATGCTTAAAATACCTGATCCTCTAAAAACATGTTGGTAGGAGAGACAGGTCTTTGGAGAGGTACATCATGCTGGGTGGAGTAGAGAGACAGCGCAGGAGGGGAAGACCCTCTATGAGATGGATCGATTCAGTGACTGGGGTAATCGGGATGGGTGTGTCAGAGGCAATGCGATTGGCACAGTATAGAGCAGGGTTTAGGGCTGTTGTGCATAGGGTCGCTATGAGTCGCAAACGACTCGACGGCACATAACAACAATAACAACAACAACTAAAAACCTACAAGAGTTGTGGTGTCTCAAAGGGCCCTGATTCCTATTGTCTTTCGGTTTTGGCTCCTTCCTCACTCATCTCCCCTCTTCACGCCAAGGACGTAAACATAAAGCCGCTGGAAAAATATGGAGTTCCCTATGATACTTAACTGTTTAAGGAAATAAAAGCAAAACATTCAAGAGTGATTTACTTGGGTGTCTCTAGCTTGCCCCCATAGTCCTTTCAAGCTCGTGACAAATGGGTCAGGATAACGACATATCCCTCAACATGTAAAACCACCACCATCTGCTTTCTTCATCCACCTCGGAGGGCCAAGGGGACAGTTAAGGCCCGACACCGCCAGGGCCATCATTCTGCGGGAGGCAGGCAACCTGCCCATTCACGCTGCTCCCAAAGAAGGAAGAATGTGGGGCATGTGGAGAATCTGAAACGCACAATGGCAGCAACAGCGGTGAGACTTTTGCAGTAGTGAAAAAGCCAGATGTGGATGGCTCACGGATGCACCCTGAGAGGAATGTCTGGGCCAACAGTTTCCAGACAGAGACTGCTGGAAGCACTGCTCTTTCTAGCAAGCACCGCTCTGCTCGGGCAGGGCTCTGGGCCTCCAGCGACACACAGCGTGCTCACCGCCTCCTTCGGCCCCTGACCACAGACCCACGAAGCCTGTCTGGCCAACTGTAACTTCAGAAGTCGCTGGCTTCCCACAGTAGTTCATGAACTTGTCAGCGATCCTGAGATCAAGCAGTTGTCTCACGCTGGCCTCCTCAGTCTTTCGTTTGCTGCCTCTAACCTTTGGAACACCTTTCCTGTCCCCATTCACAAACAGCCTCCCTGGCCTGCAGCCTCACACAGCTCTACTGCTTCCAACAAGAGAGTCAGTGGGGCTGCCCAGACGGCGCGTTAGAATACTGCCAGTGCCTGAGAGTGCATGCCAACTGGAGAGCATCAGAAAGACGGAGTCAGGGCTGTGCTGGACGACTCCTGTCCTTCCTTGCAGGGCTTCCCACGGAACAGGCTCGAGGCCGCCTCCTCGGGCCTGGCTGGGCAGTGGAGACACTAGCATAGCATGGCTCGATTTATGTTGTCCATGGAGGACTATGCTATAGCTCCTGGGGTCTTGAAGATGGGGGCTAAAAAAAGCAGTGTACCCCCTTCAGGAGCAACAGGGACCAGTGCTGGAGTCCAGGAAAAAGAACTCATTTTGTTCTAGTCTAAATGAGTAAAAACCTATCCATCCTTCCTTGCCATTTCACACTAGCACTCCTGTGCTCCCTTTACCATTGCACAT